CTTCTTCCTCCTCCTCCTCTTCTTCTTCTTCCTCTTTCTCCTCCTCCTCCTTCTCTTCCTCCTCTTCCTCTTCCTCCTTCTCGCCCTCCTCGTCCTCCTCCTCCTCCTCCTCCTCTTCTTCTTCCTCTTTCTCCTCCTCCTCCTCCTCCTCCTCCTCTTCTTCTTCTTCTTCTTCTTCTTCTTCTTCTTCTTCTTCTTCTTCTTCTTCTTCTTCCTCTTTCTCCTCCTCCTCCTCCCCTCCTCTTCCTTCTCCTCTTCCTCCTCTCCTCCCCCTCTTCCTCCTCCTTCTCCTCCTGTTCCTCCTCCTCCTCCTCCCCTTCTTCCTCTTTCTCCTACTCCTCCTTCTCTTCCTCCTCTTCCTCTTCCTCCTCCTCTTCCTCTTCTTCTTCTTCTTCTTCATTTTCCTCTCCCTCCTCCTTCTCCTCCCCCTCCTCCTCCCCCCTCCTCCTCCTCCTCTTCTTCTTCTTCCTCTTCCTCTTTCTTCTCCTCCTCCTCCCCTCCTCTTCCTTCTCCTCTTCCTCCTCCTCCTCCTGCTGTTCCTCCTCCTCCTCCTCTTCTTCCTCCTCCCCTCCTCCTTCTTCCCAGTCCTGTTCTCCACCGGGTCTGTTTTTAACATTGACACGTGTCATTTCAGTGGCCCTCTGCATCCCCAGCCCAGCATGGAGACCACACGGAGGCGTCAGGCATGCCCGAGTCTACCACCATCTTTGACTATGATCAACCGAGTGTGGCCTGCGAGAGCGACATCCTGTGGCTGGCCTCCATGTCCGTCACCATCTTGTACCCTCTGGTGTTACTGCTCAGCCTGGCAGGCAACGGCCTGGTGCTGTGGGTCCTGCTGAAATACGAAAACCTGGAAGCCTTCACCAACCTCTTCATCCTCAACCTGTGCCTCTCCGACCTGCTGTTCTCCTGTCTGCTGCCCGTGTGGATCACGGCGTACCACCGGGGCTGGCTGTTGGGCGATTTCTTCTGCAAGCTCCTGAACATGATCTTCTCCGTGAGCCTCTACAGCAGCATCTTCTTCCTGACCATCATGACCATCCACCGCTACCTGTCGGTCACAAGACCGCTGTCCACCCTGGGCGTCCAGCCCCTCCACCGCCGCATCCTGGTGATCAGCACGGTGTGGGCGGCCAGCCTCCTGTCCTCCATCCCCGACACCATCTTCCACCAGGAGGCCGCCTCGCAGTGTGATTATTCAGAAACCCGGGCCTTCCTCGCCTCGGTCTACCAACACAACGCCTTCTTCTTGCTCTCCATGGGGGTCATTGTGTTTTGCAACGTGCAGATCCTCAAAGCCCTGCTGCGATCCCGATCGAAACAGAGGCACCGGACGGTCAGGCTGATCTTGACCGTGGTGGTGGTGTATTTCCTCAGCTGGGCTCCTTACAATCTCATTCTCTTCCTGCAGACGTTACTGAAGCTCGGGGCCATCCAGGATTGCCAGGTCGTTCACCGGCTAGAGGTGGCCGTGCTCATGTGCCGGAATTTGGCTTTCTCCCAGTGCTGCTTCAACCCTGTGCTCTATGTGTTCGTGGGGGTCAAGTTCCGCAGACACCTCAAGAGACTCCTTCGGCAGATGTGGCAGTGTCGCCAGCAGATAGCCAGCCCTGGCCCGCTCCCCCACAGTCCTGGGGCCTTCCTGTATGAGGGGCCCTCCTTCTACTGAGAGAAAGGGACATGGGAGGAAGTGGGGAGCAGGGGGGATACAAGCAGGAAAAGAACATTTGCAAAGATGCTGAAGACACAAGTTGGCCACACGCAGGAGGAGGAAGGAGAAGAAACTGCCAGGTTTCCATACTTAGGCTTTTGATGTGGTTTAATTTTAATTTTTTTTTTAAAGTTTCTATTGAGGCTTGAACTCAGGATCTCTCCACTCTTGCTTAGCTTCGTTTTTTTGTTTTGGTTTTGATCAGATGTGGGGCTTGAACTCTGGGCCTGCGCGCTGTCCCTGAGTTCTTCAGCACAAGACAAGAGCTCTACCACTTGAGCCACAGTGCCACTTCTGGTTCTCTGGTTCTCTGGTGGTTCCTTTCCTGCTTGTGCTGGCTTTGAACCGCCATCTTCAGATCTCAGCCTCCTGAGTAGCTTGGATGACAGGTGTGAGCCCAGCTAAGTATGACTTTTTCTATGTGTGTGCCAGTACTGTGGCTTGAACTCAGGGTTGAAGCACTGTTTCTGAGCTTTGTTGCTCAAGGCTAGCGCTTTCCCATTGGAGCCACAGCTCTGCTTCCAGGTTGTTTTTTTTTTTGGTGGTTAATTGGAGAGAAAGAGTCTCATAGACTTTCCTGCCCTGGCTGGCTCCAAACATCAATACTCAAGTGACAGATCAAGCAAAACAAGTATGAGTAAGGTAGAAGACATAGGTGAAGAGACTGGATAAATTATATTATTTTTAACCAATATATAAAGGGCTGGACTAGAAGTTAAAACCAGAAAGTAAAAAAAAAAAAATAAACCAAAAACCCCACTAGAAAGTAAACTTGAAAAAAATGCTCAGGGCTGGGAATGTGGCTTAGTGGTAGAGTACTAGCCTCACATGCATGACACCCTGGGTTGGATTCCTCAGTACCACATAAACAGGAAAAGCCAGAAGTGGTGCTGTGGCTCAAGTGGTACAGTGCTAACTTTGAGCACAGAGAGGCTCAGGGACAGAGCCCAGGCCCTGAGTTCAAGCCCCAAGACCAGCAAAAACAAACAACTCCCAAAATAAAAAAACAAAAGAGTTAATCTATGTTAATCTGACCCTTTGAAATGGAAAGAAAAAGATGAGGGCAGCAAACTCATCCTGAAGGAGTTAGAGACCAAAAGTGAGGAGTTTAACTGCAGAAAGCAAGCCCTAAGGGTCATCTGTAATCTGTATTTAGGGTAGGCCCAGAAAAATCTCCATATGTTAATTATAAATTGAGACCAAGCGCATTCCTCCAACTCAGAAAGAATACAAGCAACAAACAGATTAATGATTGCCATTAAGAGTCTTTCCCACTTCTTTGCTTGAGAAGGTAGAACTTTCTTTCTCTTTCTCTCTACTTTAATCCTGTTAAACTAAAATAAATGCTGGCTAAAAATTTCGCCTTGTGTGACTCTACTGTGACTCTACATCACGGAATAAATTCTTCTCATGATTGGATCTCAAGATTTTTTTTATTTTTTTATTTTTGGGTCCAATTGTGGGGCCTGAACTCTGGGCCTGGGCGCTGTCCCTCAGCTTTTCAGCTTAAGGCTAACACTCTACCACTTGAGCCACAGTGCCACTTCTTGCTTTTTTCTTTTTGCTTATGTGGTGCTGAGGAATGGAACCCAGGGCCTCAGGCATGCAAGACAAGCGCTCTACCACTGTGCCACCTTCCCAGCCCTGGATCTCAAGATTTTGTGTGGCAAGTAAGAAGCTGTGGGAACCTCCCCCTCTCATCCATCCTCTGGTGACATGAGGACCTGAGTTCAAAACCCAGTACTGCCAGGCCCTGGTAGCTCATACCTGTCATCCTAGCTACTCAGGGGCTGAGATCTGAGGGTTGAGGCTCAAAGCCAATCTGGGGCAGGAAAGTCCTGAGACTCTTATCTCCAATGAACCACTAAAAAGCTGTAAATGGAGGTGTGAATCAAATAGTAGAGGGCCAACCTTGAAAGAAAGTAGAAATGGACCTAAGGCTGACGTATGGTAGTTCATTAATTGATAGTTTTGACCAATGATCAGAGAGGGAGAGGGTTGATTAAAATATGGAACATTAAGCCGGGTGCTGGTGGCTCACGCCTGTAATCCTAGCTACTCAGGAGGCTGAGATCTGAGGATCGAGGTTCAAAGCCAGCCCGGGCAGGAGAGACCGTGAAACTCCTATCTCCAATAAACCACCAGAAAACCGGAAGTGGCGCTGTAGCTCAAGTGGTAGAGCGCTCGCCTTGAGCTGAAGAGCTGAGGGACA